AGCCTGGCTCCAGAGCAGAGCTGCTCCAGCCCTCGCAGCATCTCCATGGCCTCCTCTGGCCTCGCTCCAACAGCTCCACGTCCCTCCTGCATTGGGGGCATCTCTCCATTTATCTACTTGTGAACATTGCTTTAACTTTGGCTCCTGTGACCTACAAGAAGGCCTTGTTGGGCACAAGGGAGGCCCTGTCCTAAACCCTGCCGTTGGGGACACGCAGCCTGGGTTATGCCTTCACCACCACTGCTTAATGAAGATGAATTCATGCCTGCATCCCCAGGCCGTGCCTTCGGCTGCCCGGCGCGGGAGGGCAAAGCTCACGTCTGTTTTGGGCTGTTTATAAACTGCTTCCTAGTTACCCAACTTCACCCTTTTCAGCACTAAGAAGATGTGTTCTTCTGCAGTTAGAAGAGTTCTAAATATACTCACTCTTCCCAATATTTAGAAGGGAACGAGGGTGCCTGGAGCCGGGCCAGGACACGAGCCATGACTGCGAGAACTCTAGAGATGGGCAGAAACTCAACTCTTCCCCTTTCAAATACCTTCATCAGGAGAAATTCCTGCACAAGAGACAAAGTTCCACCAGGACAGAGAAGGACAACGAGGGACGGAGGAACAGGAGGCAGGAGGAGGAGTGGGGAGCAGGAGTGCAGCAGCTTGGGTCAGCAGGAGCTCGGGGATACTTCCCAGCCTCAGTGCCTACGTGAAGGCAGCGATGCACCTCGATGCTCTCTGTAGTTCAAGGACAAGAATCCAACCTCCTGTCCCTCCCTGCTGAAGAGACATCCCAGACACAGGATAACACGTTCCAGACGTTCAGAGGGCCAGTCCTGCTGGAATGACATCCCATTCCTTCCCTGCTCCTGTCCTGCACTTCCCTCCCATGCTCACGTCTGCTTCTCGCTTGCAAAGGCTTTGCTTTTCATGGAATCATGGAATGGTTTGGGTTGGAAGGGACCTTAAAGCTCCTCCAGCTCCAGCCCCTGCCACAGGCAGGGACCCTTTCCACTAGAGCAGCTTGCTCCAAGCCCCTGGGTCCAACCTGGCCTTGAACACTGCCGGGGATGGGGCAGCCACAGCTTCATCACAGGCCTCAGTGCTGCCATGAGAGCTCAGGAGCCTCCTGGGATGCTCCGGATGGCTCTGTGTTCTCATCCATCCTGCAGCAAAACCCAGCCTGAGGCTGCTTGGCATGGAGGGAAGCAGCAGCTTCCTGGGCTGGTTTCTGTGATGGCTTCTGTGGCCCAATGATCCCAATCCATCCAGTCCATCCCAGCCCAGCCCATCCATCCTCATGCCCCATGGTGGAGCAAAGGTCCATGGGCTGACCTGCCCGTGCTGTGAGCCAGGTGCTAATCCCAGGTCCTAACAATTCCGAGCAGGAAGAGGTGGAGGAGATTCTGTTCTTGGCTTCCAGGGATTGCAACAGAAGCAAGGCAGCTCTGCCATACCCAGTCACTGCAATGCAACGCACACATTCCCTCCCTTCCTCCTGATCCTGGACACTTCCCTATCCCAATTCCCAGTTGACTCCTCGTCTTCCCACGGCTAAAAGCAAACCAGCATCACTCCTGATGCTGAACTAAGAATCCCCCTGCCTGAGTAAGCAGCTTTTTCAGTGCCTGCAAGCCAGGATCCCCTGCAAACCACTGCAAAGCCCTGCAGCACCACTGGACTAACTGGTTCCACGTAACAGCATCTCCCTTTCCAGGCCCATTTGCCCTGCAGCACCCGCAATTCCCCACCACGGAGAAGTTCTCCAACAGCCCACAGATGGGAAAATGCACCCTGCTGATCCCATGGCCACATAGGGAAGGTGAAGGCAGCGAGTGCCTCATCCCCACAAGCAGAGGAAAGCTCCAGGGCTGCACAAGGAGCTTGGAGGGGAGTGGGGGGGAACTATTTAACCCCTTGTTCAGACCTGCAAAAGAAACCTTCATTTATTCCTCCTATAGCTGCAGTTTTCATCCTTTTCTCCCAGATGTAGGTCAGGAGAAGACCCTCCTATAGCAAACTCTATTATAAACATCCAGAAAGAGCTATTTCCATGTGCTCAGCTGGAAGATCCAGGTTACTGCTGGAACAGGTCAGGAATCAGAGCCAGAGCACTCTGTTAATGGAAGTATCCACATAACCCTCGGCTCTGCCTCTGCTGCTGGTACCCCTCAGCCTTGTCCCGTCTCCTCTGAGCCTGGGACATGGAACCTGCCTGTGAATGCACAGATAAAGGCTGAAGATTCCCCGTGTGGCTCAGCCTGCTGTGAAAACCCAGGGAAAGCAAACGCTTCCCGGCCTCCCACACACCAAGCACATACCAAATATTCTTAGTGCAGAGGTTACCAAGGGTTAGGGAGGAATGGGATCGGCTCCCACTAAGGCAAGGCACAGGGAGAGGGACTGGCACGAAGCTTTCCAGCTCCCAGGAAGCTATTGCAGGTGTGGAGAAGGAGGTAACTGTAGCCAAAGGAAGAGCAAAGCATGGATTTAACTGAATAAGCACGGAACAAGTGGCTTGGGGTAAAACCCAGTCCTTGGGGTGATTTCCCCCAGCTCCAAGGCAGCAACCCTCTTTTATTCCACCAGAAGCAGAGACTGTTGAAGCTTTTGCACAAGAATAAAAGGGATCAAGAATTCAGAGATATCCAAAGGGGAAAATACAGTACAAAGCAAGGCAGCCCATGGGATTGCTGTCACTGGCCCCAGCAGGGAGAAACCCCCTGCACCAGCACAGCTTTGGGCTCTGTAACCCCAGCACTTCATGGAACACCCTGTTCCCTCCCAGAGTGCCTGGAGCAGGTCCCTGCCTCGCTCCTCTGGTCCCTCCACCACAACATCTCCTCCTTAGCGAGCGCCTTCCTCAGCATTCCCATTTTCCACCTCCTCCCTACACCACCCCAGCGGAGCTCACAGCTATTTCCCCCCCTTCATTCCCCATCCCACCAAGCACCTCGACGTGGTGAGCTGCAACTTACATCAACCGACTGCTCCCTCTGAAGACGTTTCCTGGTCTCCTTTCCGCAGTGGTTGAGCGTCACGTCACTGTTCTCCGCCGGGTTTTCCTGCCTGAGCTCCAGCGGGATGCTCCCATCCGCATCCACCACATCCAGCTCCTTTTCCAGCTCCTCCATCTCCTCTGGAGACAGAGTCGACAACAAACTGTCGATGTCTGGGTCTTCGCTGACTTGTCGCCGGTATTTGGCCACTTTGGACATCTTGGCTCGCTGGCGAGACACGGTGGCGGTTGTGTGGTACCCAAGGAAGGAGAAAAACCAGAAGCCGAAGCTCCGACTGCTTCCCCAGCAGCAGCAGGTGCTGAAGTGTTAAATCCCAGTGACTCCCAACGCCTGCAGCCTTGGGATATAGTGGTTAGAAAGAGGGGACACCCCTCGGTCCAAGGGTTGGCCAATAACAGGGTCCAGCGGCGGTTTGGGAGCTGGGAAGCCAATGGAGCCCAGTGGGAGGCGGGGAATGGTGCTATCAGAGGAGCCTGAAACCCGAGGACATTCCAGGGAACCATGCAGAGCTGCATGACCAAATTTAGTCCGGAGCATTTAGCCTTTTAAAGGCAATAGGCCAACCTAGTGAGAAAACAGGCAAAAATGCACAAGCTGGCAGGCTGGGGATGGGGGGGGTGGGAGGCAGATCCCTACCATGGGGCCATCCGTGCTGGAGGGCTGGTAGAGAGGTCGGGGGGGGCTCCCTCACGCTGCTGACTCTGCCCCCAGCGCATCCCTGGCTCCCTTTATCGGAGCTCCTGCTTCTCCCCTCTCCTCTGGAGCAGTGCTCCTGCTCTTCCCCACTGCATTCCCATTTCCCCCCCTGCCAAGCCCCAGAGTCAGCCCTGCTTCTGCACAGAGGAAATTCCTGAGTCTCTCCTGCTTCTGGTTCAGGCAGTGCCCTAAGCCTGGGCTTGGCTTGGAGGCACCTACTTTCCATCAGCCTAATCCATACAGCAGCTTACTGGCACCTGAAAGCTCTCCCAGAGGGACAGAGGCTGGTGGGCTCCTCTCTCCAGGCTTCAAGGCAGCTTTACCCCATGCACAGTATTTTGGACCCATTTGTCACACTGCAACTTTACCCTTTACCATCCTCCTCACTGCCTGCTCCCACCTCTCTTTGCTAGACCAAGCAAACAGCCCTTTTGTCTTGCTCAGTAAAATAAGCTCTTGTAATAAGCCTCATCCCCTCCTCTGTCCATCTTCCTGGCTCAGCTCCTGCCCTGAATGCAGGCATAGGATGCTCTATGTGTTACAAACGAGACATTGCCCATCCTGATGGGGAATGCACACTGTTGGTGTCTTCTAGGATCTCATTTACCTCCAACTCCTGCTCAAACCTTGCTGTTGATTCACCACCAGCACGCCCAAGGCTCTTTACAGATTGTAGAAGAAACTGTTGGGTTTAGTTACCAAGTGGTTAAGTTACCATAACCCTGAACATTGCATCACTTCTGTCTCCCTGATATCATGACCCTCATCTTGGTGCTGGTTTGCACTGAGGACTAGGAGGGACAGGCTCATCCCTTCACCTTCTTCTGCTCTCAGCCTGGATGCTCTTTTCCTCCCCTCACCCCAAAACTGCCACAACTGCAGCAGCACGAAGGCAACAGGAACCAGAGAGAATTTAACACATTGGTGTCCATTTGGTGCCCTCCTCATCTGAAGAAGCCAAATGACTGTCTTAAGTGTTCCACCTCACTACAGCAGCGGCTTTGGCCAAGGGCCTGTAGGGACAGGCCAAGGGGAATGGCTTTAACCTGCCCAAGGGGAGACTGAGCTGAGCTCTTAGGCAGAAGCTCTTCCCTGTGAGGGTGCTGAGGCGCTGGCACAGGGTGCCCAGAGAAGCTGTGGCTGCCCCATCCCTGGCAGTGTTCAAGGCCAGGTTGGACACAGGGGCTTGGAGCAAGCTGCTCTATGGAAGGTGTCCCTGCCCGTGGCTGGGGTTGGAGCTGGAGGAGCTTTAAGGTCCCTTCCAGCACAAACCAGTCCATGACTCTATGAGAATGTTCCTCCTGCCATTTATCTTGGCTGTCACATCCCTTTCTGAACAGGGATATCCACAGAGCTCTGACTGCACCATGTTCCACAGAGTCTAGTGCTGAAAGAAAGAGAACACCCAAAGAAAATCCAGTGCTTTCAGCCCAGAATCAGAGCAGCTCCAGGCCACCAGCACCAGGGACTGGGGGCCTGTGTGAGGACCCTTGAGCCTTGCTCTGTATCCGGCTCCATCCTTTGGATGCTGTCCCTCTGTAGCCGTTCCAGCCAGGACAGCCCAGCCCAGCCCAGCGTGGGGTGCAGTGAGGCACAGAGGAGCTCCCAGCACCTCCCAGTCTCCAGGGAGGCTCCGCCAGCGTCTGGATTTCTCTGGATTCCCCATCTCCATAGCAACCGAGCACCTTGGAGGCATTGATGGGGATTGCTGCGCAACAGCCTCTGAACCACAGCAAGGGGATGAGCCACGTCCTGGGGATGAGGAGCTGAGGCAGAGTCACACTGAGCTTGTCCAGGCACACGTCCATGGGCTCTGGCAGAGCTGGGGATGCTCTTCAGCGCCTCACCTCTCGTGACACCACCTAGGACCATCAGAGAATCACAGTTAGGCTTGGAAAGGACCCTAAGATCACGCAGTTCCAACCCCCATCTCTCTTCCTTTCTTTAGTCCCATTAGCTGATACAGGACACTGCAAATGGGATGGATTCCTTGAATCTCTTTTATTTCCCATTTACTGTTAAACACACATCTTGCTTCCAAGCCGTTTCATGACAAACCAGGTGACACGAAGGGACAGGCCAAGGGGAATGGCTTTAACCTGCCAGCAGGGAGACTGAGCTGAGCTCTTAGGCAGAAGCTCTTCCCTGTGAGGGTGCTGAGGTAGAACTTGCCACCCAGTAAGGCAAAGGACGAGGCTACCGCAAGCAATTGCCATGCTAAGAAGGGCTGGATCAGTGTGGGGCCAGTCACAGCAGTAACAGGAACACCAGAGTGGAGGGGGCTGCTCCGAGGGGGTTTTTCCCCTCCCCAACTCCCCCGCCTCAGCCAAAGCAGAAGCCACAGCACCACCTCCTGGTGACCTGCAGCACTGCACCAGCCCCTGCTTCTCCAGGAAGGGGGAATGTGCCAGAACAGTCCTTGGGACATAGAACCCCAGAACCCAGCCTGGTTTGGGTTGGAAGGGACCTTAAAGCTCCTCCAGCTCCAACCCCTGCCACAGGCAGGGACACCTTCCACTAGAGCAGCTTGCTCCAAGCCCCTGTGTCCAACCTGGCCTTGAACACTGCCAGGGATGGGGCAGCCACAGCTTCTCTGGGCACCCTGTGCCAGCGCCTCAGCACCCTCACAGGGAAGAGCTTCTGCCTAAGAGCTCATCTCAGTCTCCCCTCGGGCAGGTTAAAGCCATTCCCCTTGGCCTGTCCCTACATCCCTTGTCCCGAGCCCCTCTCCAGCCTTCCTGCAGGCACTGCAGGGGCTCCCTGCGGGGTGAGGCTCCCGAGCAGCGCTGTCTCACAGCACGTTAAGGCGGGCGGACCTCGCTCAGCACCACAACCGGATGAAGCCCTCACAGAGCCACCACAACGCCTTCTCCCTGCACCGGAGCCGCTGCTCACCGCAGGGCACGTTCCGGTGCGGGCCCGCTCCCGTCCCGGTGCCCGGAACTAGGCCGCGCCGTGAGGCCCAGCTACGGGGCTTGAGGGGAAGGAATGAGTACCGCGCATGCGCCAGCCGCTTAGTCCCGCCCTCTGCCTCCCCATTGGCCTGCTGGGGGTCGCGCTCAGCCAATGGCACGGGGGGGAAGGCGGGCGGAGGGCGGCGGGGCCTGCCAAGATGGAGGAGTACGCGCGGGAGCCCTGGTGAGCGCCGGCCGCCGCACCGGCGGGGCCCGGTTGTGGGGTGGAAAACGGGGTTAAGGGGAACGGGGGATAACGGGGTGGGAACGGGGGGAGGCCTCGCTGCCGGCGGGAGGGGTGTGTGTGGTGCCGGTGTGTGACCTTGGTGGGGCCCCCCTGAGGCAGCGGCCGGGCCCGCGGCCTGGGCCTTGCAGGCGCGCCGGTACCGGGGCCGGTGGAGCCTCACTGAGGGGGGAAAGCACCGGGGGGGGGGGGCTGCTGGGCCCCGGCTCGGCCTCACGCTGCCTCCCTCGGTGCGGTGGGGTTGGACCCGGCCGCGTTCCGGCTGTGTCTGGGGCAGCGGTGCAACGTACAGCGTTTGGTGTGGTGATAAAGCGTGCCGACGGGTGATGAACCGTGGCAACGGGGAATAAACCGTGCCAACAGGTAGTAAACCATGCCAACGGGTAGTAAACCGTGGCAACCGGTAAGAAACGGTGGCAACGGGCAATAAGCCGTGCCACCGGGTAATAAACCGTGCCAATGGGCAATAAACCGTGCCACTGGGTAATAAACCGTGCCAACGGGTAATAAACCGTGCCAACGGGTAGTAAACCGTGGCAACCGGTAATAAACGGTGCCAACGGGCAATAAACCGTGCCACCGGGTAATAAACCGTTTTAACTGGCAATAAACCGTGGCAACCGGTAATAAACCGTGCCAATGGACAATAAACCGTGCCACCGAGTAGTAAACCGTGCCAACAGGCAATTAAACCGGCCCAACGGGATGGGAGCCTCGGGACCAGCCCCTCAGCTCCACCGGGCCCCCCCCGCGGGGCTCCCCATAACGGCACCTCCCCACAGCAGAGAGCGGGGCCAGGTGAATGCTCTGTACCGGTTGCTGTGTGCTCCCCTCTCTCATAACCCTCCCCCTCCGCACACGGTGGTCATTGCCCCGCTCTCTCTGTGCCCCCCCCCCCCCCGCCGTGTGCCGCTGCAGGACCGGCTGTAGCCGGTGCTGTGCGCTGGGCACGGCCCGCAGGGGAGGCAGGGGCTCGGTGCTGACGGCGGTTAGCGCGGGGATGAAGCGTGGCTGAGGTGTGGGCAGCCCCCGCCTGGCCGCTGGGATGAACCGGTTGTGGCTGCTCCCCGGGGGGAGCAGAGCCCTGGTTGCAGCGTTCCTCACCTCTGGGCAACCTCGGCTGCCGCTGGGGAGAGGAGCGAGTGTGGAGCCAGGCTGAGAGAGCTGGGCTGGGGAAGAGAAGGCTCCTGAAGGGGAGACCTGAGAGCAGCTCCAGTGCCTGAAGGGGCTGCAGGAAAGCTGGAGAGGGGCTTGGGACAAGGGATGTAGGGACAGGCCAAGGGGAATGGCTTGAACCTGCCAGAGGGGAGACTGAGATGAGCTCTTAGGCAGAAGCTCTTCCCTGTGAGGGTGCTGAGGCGCTGGCACAGGGTGCCCAGAGAAGCTGTGGCTGCCCCATCCCTGGCAGTGTTCAAGGCCAGGTTGGACACAGGGGCTTGGAGCAAGCTGCTCTAGTGGAAGGTGTCTCTGCCCGTGGCAGGGGTTGGAGCTGGAGGAGCTCTAAGGTCCCTTCAACCCAAACCAGGCTGGGATGCTGTGACTCTATGCTGGTATCTAATGTAAACTCCTCTCTCTCAGCTTGAAGCCCCCCCCCCCCCCATCCTGTCATTACCTTTTGTCCTGAGGTGTTTTTTTATCTCCTGAGATCAATGTCTCAAACCTGCAGCCCCCAGCACAGCCCCTCCTCACTCCATCACCTACCCCTGAACCTCTCCCTCACAGCAAGCAGAGCACCACAACCTCTGCACCCCCCCCAAAGGAAGGGAAATGCCCTCTTGGCATCGGTCACTTGCTTTGCTTTGGCATCACTTGGTTGCTCTGAAGCACCACAACCTCATCCCGGTGCCAGCAGTGACAGCAGCAGCCCAGCCCCACACGGATTTGGGACACAGGAGGATCACACATCATCCCTTCACACATCCCCCTCCTCCCCTGTCACCCTGCCTGCACCAAGGCTTTCATCCCAGCTCCCCACAAAGCCCCTCCAGCTTCAACTCAATTCAATTCCTTAGTCCCAAATCACATTTTCCTTCCCTTTCTCCTGTTTTTACATTTCTCCCCTCTTTTATTTTCCTTCTCCCTGTACTTTTAATGATGAGGAAGAGGTTCCAGGCACATTCTGTTGGCAGGGATGCCAAGATGAAAAGCAACCGAAGCCTTTCTTCTTGGGGCTGTTTTGATGATGGTTTGTTCTTCTCCCCATCTCCTGATTGTGATGTGCTCTGTTATGAATAAAACATCTCCTCACAAGCTGCCCTTCATTAGCCTGCTGACAGGACTCTTGGTAAAGGCCTGCTTGAAATCCAGATGGATTATGGAAAGTGGTCTCCCTTTGCCCACAAGGTCAGAGAATCCCAGCTGAGCAGTGACTGTTATTTACAGGAGCTTCATTAATCAGCCCCCAATCACACACTTGCCTCTCTTTAACCCTGCTTCAATGTCAAGCTCATTACCTGCTCCCTCTGGGGTTCTTCCTTTCCCTTTGAAACTCCCTCCAGCACCCTCAGGAGCAGCTTTTCAAGGAGGAAACCTCTTTGACACCATCCCAACCATTCCCTGTGTGTCCCAGCGCTGACACTAAGCACCCACAGTCCCACCAGCACCGGAGCCTGGTGGGGGAAAGAATTGGAAGAGAATAAAAGAGATGATTCCACTGTTAATCTATCACTTACCTACAAGTTTAATGTCACTGATGTTTCCTTGACTTTAAGGGCAACCCTCACAGGAAGGAAACCATGTACTTGTTGCTGCATGCAAGGTAAGGTCGGATTCATAGAACCCCAGCCTGGTTTGTGTTGAAGGGACCTTAAAGCTCCTCCAGCTCCAACCCCTGCCATGGGCAGGGACCCCTTCCATAGAGCACCTTGCTCCAAGCCCCTGTGTCCAACCTGGCCTTGAACACTGCCAGGGATGGGGCAGCCACAGCTTCTCTGGGCACCCAGTGCCTCAGCACCCTCACAGGGAAGAGCTTCTGCCTCAGAGCTCAGCTCACTCCACCTCCTAAACCCCGCAGTGCTGGGCTTTGCTGTCAGATTCTGATGGAAGATGAAGGCAACACAATGACCTTGTTGTGTTGGGATGTTGGCAGCAGTGGGGACGGTGAAGAGCAGGTTGGTGCTCCCCTAGTTTAGGAGTCCAGGTTCGTGGTGGGGAGTTACAAAGCTCCCAGGTTTGATTTGAACCCCAAATGAAAGCTCACCTCACCGGTGTTCAAAGGGTTTGCTGTCAGCAGCATGCTCTTTGTTGCAAAGCTTTTGCTTGTCGATGGGAACCATTTGATGCTCTGTGGTGGTGGAGTCACTGCAACCTCCAGCAGGGGCTGTGTTTCCTTTGAATGCACTTCAAAGAGCCAGGATGCAGCAGGAAAAACCTTTGCAGTCGAACAGGAGATGCCTTTGAAGTCTCTCATTTAACAAAGCAGAGCTCAGGAGGAGCCTGAGCCGTGGAGGTGCTTTGAGAGCTGAGCCTGCTTGAATTTACCACTGCAGTTTCCAGGGAGAGCAGTCAATGTGATGCTCTTTACACTCCCTAAGTAGGACAGGGCTGGAGTTCTGCAGTGGTTTTCCAGGCTGGAAACGTGTCTCCTTGCCCTGTGTGAGGAGCTGAGCTGGAGCTGACAGTGACGCTCCAGGGAGGTGGCTTCTTGGGCTCTCCCCAAAGGTCGAGGTTGTTTTCCTATGGGGTTTATGACTTGCTGGCTGGGAGGCCGTGCAGCTGGCACCCTGGTGCAGGGCCAGTGCCTCCTGTACAGCTTCTTGCACCGTGTCCCATGATGTAATCTGGTGTTTTTGTCCTTCTCTCCCCAGTCCCTGGAGGATAGTGGATGACTGCGGAGGCGCTTTCACCATGGGAGCCATCGGAGGTGGCATCTTCCAGGCTATCAAGGGCTTCAGGAATTCCCCAGTGGTAAGCCAAGTCATGGCAGAGCATGTGCAGGGTGCAGCCTGCTCCTTGCCTCTGCCCAGCAGCAGGGAATCTGCCCAGCTGAAGGTACAGAGGAGAAATCCCTGGGAGTGGGGCTGCTTAAACCCCTCGTGTCATTAATCCACATCTGAGGAAGTGCTCAGGATCCATGTGGGTCCTTCATCCTTCTGGGTACAGGAACTAAATCTTCACAGAATCCCAGCCTGGTTTGGGTTGGAAGGGACCTTAAAGCTCCTCCAGTTCCAGCCCCTGCCCCAGGCAGGGACACCTTCCACTAGAGCAGCTTGCTCCAAGCCCCTGTGTCCAACCTGCCCTTGAACACTGCCAGGGATGGGGCAGCCACAGCTTCTCTGGGCAACCCATTCCACTGTCCCACCACCCTCATAATGAAGAGCTTCTTCCCAATATCTCATCCAACTCTTCCCTCTTCCAGTTGGAAGCTGGTTTTCCTCATCCCATCCCTACAGGCCCTTGCCCAAAGCCCCTCTCCAGGTTTCCTGCAGCCCCTTTAGGCACTGGAGCTGCTCTCAGGTCTCCCCTTCAGGAGCCTTCTCTTCTCCAGGCTGACCCAGCTCAGCTCCAGAGCTGCTCCAGTCCTCCACCTGACCAGCAGGAATGACTGAATTTGGGACAACCAGTGAGCCTAGAGCTGCCAGCTGAGCACATTGCTCCTGCTCTGTGGGCATCGGAAACAGGGTTGAGGTGACTGTACTGGAATAGACCCAATGGAAACGTGACATTTCAACGTGTGGTTTTCCTCTAGCACA